AATCCGCCCGCACCTCGCTGGGTTCATCAGAACGAGCGGAAGGACAGAGTTCACAGGTCCTTTTCCTCGCTCCAGCCTGGGGAAGTGTCCTCGTGGCTCCAGAGGAGAGCTGCTCAGCTCAAGTGTTTGCCAAGGCTTTGAGAACCCTTGGAAGGAAGAGGTTGTCCAAGTACAAAGTATTGCTAATAATACCGTTCTGCCCATCCAGGAAGGAATTGCTGTCCTATAAATCACCTCTGCTTGTCCGCAGTGGTCTTGACAGCAGATTCCGTACATTAAAAATACTGGGTTTTATTAATTAAGGCAGAAGGACTTCCTTCTGGCATGGCTTTTGTAATAGCAGAAGCACAACCTGGCTGTCAGAAGGCAGAGACGAATGGTTGCTCCCTTTAACTGCGGTGCACAGCTCCCACGGTATTGCACGAAACTATCTGAGATCTCTGACGACCAGGAGCCGATGAGCAATGCGTGCCATGCCGAGCATTGCTCCTGGCCGCGCCCAACAGCTAGGGATGTCCGCAGTTCTGGTCCAAAACTGCTCGTCTTCCTTGCAGACCTGGAGTGGTTTAGTTTCCTTATCACAGAAAACATTTCATCAGGATGCTGAGGTGACAGAAAACTTTGCACGGGGCTTATGGCTTTGGCCAGTCCCCTCTCGTCTGCTGCTCTCTCGTCCCCCAGGATTTCCCAGCAGCAAAGTCCTGCCAGGAACCCTTCGCTCTCATCCACTGCCAGTGCTGAGTGTCCTGCTGGGGAAATCGCTGGGTGATGCCCTGAGCAGCAGCTGAGATGATGCTGAAACCCCTGTTCTGCTTCTCTGCTTCCCCAGTCCATGTGGAAGACGCAGCGCAGCACCGTGAAAGGCTACTTTCTGGCTGGAGGACAGATGGTTTGGTGGCCTGTAAGTATGGTTATCGCCAGTGACACTGTGTGAGCCCCCGGGCCACAGCGAGACAGAAGCACTTCTGTCCAAGCAGAACTTCTTTCTCCAAACAGGAAAAATAACCCAAACCCCTTCCACGCGTTGCAAAGACCCAGCTATAATAACAGGGGTTTTTTCCCATATTTGAGCAGAGCTGCTGCCGGGCACTTGGCACAGCCCCCCGAGAGCCAGCCCGCGGCTTGCAGAGCCCGTCTGGTTTGTGTGTCCCGATCGGGAGATCTCCAGGATGAACTGGGGGGTCCCCATCGTGGCCGCAGCCCCGGGAGGTGGGGTATTGCTCCGGGGCCGGGCTGCTGAGTCAGGAGGTGACTGATGCCCTGCTGCTCCCTCTGCCTGCAGCCTCTGCCCCGCTCTCCCGCGAGGGGCTGGGCACTGGTTTGGAAGCAGCGTGGTCCTAAACATGCCCAGAAATAAGGACAGGCAGCGAATGATGCAGGAAGCTGCAGAGAGGTGCCAGAGCCACTGAGCATGCAGGGAAAAGACGAAGGTAGCAGAGGGTGACAAGGATTTCATGTCCCCCATTGTCATGAGTGGGGGAATAGCATCGCTGTGTAACGCCCGTAGGGGGAATGCACCAGGGTGTGCGTGTGCTGGAGCACCCAGTCACCCTGCTCACACCTTTGTCCCCACGGGGCCGGGAACAACGCCGTGTGCCAGCACCAGACCCCGTCTCCCGTCTCTCTGCAGGTGGGTGCATCCCTGTTTGCCAGCAACGTCGGAAGCGGCCACTTCATCGGCCTGGCCGGGTCGGGAGCCGCCGCGGGCATCGGTGCC